CGGAGCAGTTCAACTCTGTCACACGTGGGGTCGCCAAGAGCTGGAATCAACTCCATGGCCAATAACAACAACGACACCTATAGAGACTGGGAGGATAGTCACTAATTGTTTCCACTGGTTCATCTCTAGACGGGAGGATGTTGGATGATGACTATTTTTAACACTTTTCTGAAAATTTGACAATAAATGCAGATTTCTTTTGTGCTCAGAAAACAATAAGACCATCTCTGTTTTGGAAACTTTTAAACTTCCTAACTTACTGTGATCTAGCGTGTATTAAAACCAGTTTGTTCTCTTCAATTTGCTATCTGGGGTCAGTGGCAGATGTTTTCTGTTTGATTGGAGAAAGCAGCCCAGAATTTATATCTGCCCTGGATAATGCTCTAGGATCTCTTGTGGTGCAGTGGTTAAGTCATCTGACTGCTAACCAAAACATCAATGGTTTGAACCCACCAGCTACTCTGCAGAGGAAACGTGAGGCAGTCTGCTTCTGTAAAGATTTACAGCCTTGGAAATACAATGGGGGTCTTTATGAGTCGAAGGCAGTGAGTTTGGTTTTGTTTTTGGGTAATGCTCAAATAGCAGTAACTGAAGTCTAACTGTTAAGGTTCCATGCAAGAGAGAGAGACACACAAAGATCAAAAGGAAAAAGCAAAAAATCCCCAATCACAACAAAATCAAATCAGAATGCGAACATTGTTACCAGTGGCAGGCTCGCACGGAACTGGTGTGTAATACTTGGAGTACACTTCGTCTTTGGGCCGATCAGGAAACACGTAGATTAGGTAACTCAGGTCCCCCAAACGGTCGGCCAGGGACCGGATGGAGAAGTCTCTGGTCGTAAAAGGCATCAAGTTCCAAAACATTCTTTCCTCTATGCCAATAAACAGAATAATCACTATTCTAACATGACTTCTGAACAGGGAATCTTAAAACCCAAATATACTACATGTTAAAACTCACATTAAAATCACCCCATGAAAATCTCCCATTAAAATAACCACACACTGTAGATAAAGTCATCATAAAAATCTCCACCAGGGGAATAATTAAGAATATGTGCAAACAGCAATCTAAGGACACTCATCACAATACTGAAACAGCAAAACTGATGTTTCCAATAAATTTACTGGTAGGGAAAATGTAGGGGAAGAAAGCAGATTTTAAAATAGTTACTTAGAGTATCATTGCATTTGTTCCAATCTAGAAACAGGTGTGGATAAGGATATACAGTCATCCATCCCTCAGCGTCCACGGGGCATTGGTTCCATGACCCCTGCAGATACCAGACCCTGCAGATGCTAAGTCCCTTTTATAAAATGGAGTAGAATTTGTATATAACCTACACACACCCTCCCGTATGCTTTCAATCAGCGCTAGATTTCTATAATACCTAAGACAATGTAAATGCTGTGTAAGAATCACTTTATGTCCCTCTTAGCCTTTGAGGGATTGCTTTGACCATATAATCACTTCCTTTCCATTATTTTTGATCTGCAGTTGGATCTAGGCATGTGGAACCCACAGATATGGCGGGCCGACTGTAATTAGACTTTATATAGTCAGCCCCATTATGGGAAGCTGTGTCACGCACTTGTGTTTCCTATAATTAGTACTGGCTCTAACAAATAAATTTGTTTGTTAAAGTAATTTAGCAACAAAAGCATTTAATGAGCCAAGACGTGGCCTACAAAAGAAAGGGCACTCACGAGAGTCGAACTTCCAAGCAATGGTGATGCCGCCAATCTCAGAGTCGCTGAATCTCAGCAGGAAGGTCCCATCTGGCTTGTTAATAAGTAGGTCATGGGCCTGTTGCTTGTTCACAAAACCCAAAATGGCCCTGGATCACAAAAGCCAAAGGAGCAGGGACAGAGTGTGACATTTTGATGCCAGAAAGAGGACTCTCTTACTCTACTGCTCACTTAAAAAAATGACGATTCTCACCCGTCATTCCAGTGAGGCTTGAGGTGCTTCTTTAACACTTCCATCACCCCATCAAACCACTGCCAGAAAGTGTAGTTCCGTCCTGGTAAATTCTCCTGGTTGAATACACACAACAATGAACAGAAGAGAGCGAGAACAATGCTAAGAGGCATGTAACTTTAATTGAAGAAAAGCAAATGGAAACACATATCCACACTGTCAGAAGCATACTATCCACCCAGAGATGCTTTGAAAGAAACTCCTGGTGACTTGCGTCTGAAAGATCACAGCCACTGCAAACCGTATGCAATGCAATTCTGCTCTGACACACACATGGTTGCCATGAGTTGCAAGTGACTCAATGACCACGGATTTTTTTTTCTTTACCTCAATTTTACCGAACAGTTCTTTAGCCAGAAAACAGCAGAGAGGAAAAGACGGGAAGTGGGGATTACTAACACCCAGTGGAGTCCTGCTACAGATTCTTTCTCAGGATCTGGGCTGACTAGGCCCTTGCTACTTTCAGTGTGTGGTCTGTGGCCAGCAGCATGAGCATCACCTGGGAGCTTTTAGGATGTACAGAATTTCTGCTGAGTCAGAGTATGCATGTTAACAAAATGCCCAGGAGACTCATAAATGTGAACTGGGTTAGACTGCACTGTGGGGCCTCAGCTCCCCCTCCATTACACAGCTTGCTACCAGTTCCATGAGTCTACTGGAAGGCAGGTGCTTCACTGCAAGGGCAAAGACAGGTCATGGAGACCTCCTGCATCCCCTACGAAACCTTCCCTGATGACCAACAAAGACACTGGCCAACTTCTTAACACAAAACCATTTAAAAGAGTTAAGGACTCAGCTATCAGCTACCTGAATTAAGAGCATTTGAAACTCTTCTGGTGAGTGGGTAAGAAAATAAATAGAAGTTAAATGAAAAATCCATGAAATATTTGACATGTGCCACATTTAATAGATACTCTAGTGGTGTAGTGGCTAGGGCACTTGACTGCTAACCAGAAGGCTGGCAGTTCAAACCCACCAGCCACTCCCTGGAAGGAAAGTTGGACAATCTACTTCTGTAGTGATACTGCCTTGGAAACCCAAGGAGGGGTCGCTATGAGTCGGATCCAACTCCACAACAATGTTTGCATTTTTCTTTTTTGCAAAGGAAAAAGGTCCTTCACTAGCATCCCCTTTTGAGGTTTGGGGTTCCATGGGAGCCAGACTTCACATTACACATCAGGGAACATTAGAGAGTGAACAGGATGGAACGATGCAATTCTGATCGGCCCAAGAGCGTCACTTCCCATGAGTTAGGTGAATGTTTGCTTTGCTGTTTCCTTTATAAAGGAATGTATATCCAAAGTCCAACTTATTTAAATATGCAAATATGTAATTTTCTCCCTAAGATCTGGATAACTCTTGACTAGTCCATCTATCCAGAAGCTTCCCATTACTTTGGTACACTTTATTAGAATGAAGAACAAAGGCCCAAGGAAGGGAGGTTCCTAAAGATATCTGGTTTTGAGAGACTGGTCTAAGGTAGCAGCTGGTGGCCACAGTCCTCACCCTGTTGAACTGGGACCAGGACACAGACATGTTGTTGTAGTCCTCCAGGTGGTTGATGGTGGTGTTGAACAGCTTCTGTGCCAGGAACACGAGGTTCTCCTTGGTCAGGCCCCGGTTGCTCTGCACTTCTGCCTTGAACTTCATGTTGAGGGCCTCACACAGCTGCGGCCAGAGCACTTTGTCAGGCACAGCAAATGGCACCCTGCCCTGGGAGGGAGAGAAGCCAGACTTCTCATGAGAAAACAGTTGCCTGACTTAATTCCTTCAACCTGCAAAATAAAACTATCTATGGCCTGAAGCAGTTACGTACATTTGTCACATACATTTTTCTCACAGAACCTGAGAATAAATTCAGACTTTCTCAGGGTGTGCAGTTCTGCAGAATTCAGAAGGGCCCATCTTCCCCTTCTTCACTCATGACTTAAAAGGTAACCCCATCCTCTCTGTGCTGCTTGGTAAATGCACTGCTAGCCCACAGTCCTTTCCTAGACACTAATAGCCACAAAAACACAACATAAGCAAGGTCTGGCTCTTACAGGGTAATCTCATTGGGAATTGAGAAATCTAACAGACTGGCCCCCTAGGTACAGAGAGTGTGTACGTATGTGTGCACCTTAAGCCAGTAACTCTAGCTCAAAGCAAAAGGAGTGGAAATTATGAATTGGATGACTTTTCTAGCTAAGAAAGAGATTAGAATATGAATTTTTAATAAACTGTTTTTCATCCCATTCAGCTGCAGCACTTCATTTTAGTTATAATTTTTTCTTGAGTAGGCAATTTCTTCACACAATATTCAAAATATATAGAAGGCTACCTAGTGAAGTCCCTTTCCCATCCTTGTGCCCCAGTTTCCCAGTTCTTCTCCTCAAAGGCACCTAATCTAGTTTTTTGAGTGTATCTCTGGAGATACTCTGTACACACTAGCAAACATACACACTTTTTCTTTTTTCATAAATGGTACCACAAAATCCACGTTCTGCATATCACTTTTTTCACTTCATACTCTATGTGGGAGACCTTGTATCAGTGCATAAGGAAAATTCTTCATTCTCTTTTACAGCTGCTAACTATTCTACTGTATGAATGAATGATACTTTATTTATGTAGAGCTCCATAGGTAGCCATCTGTGTTAAGAGCTTCCAAACTTTAGCTGTTACAAACCAGGGCTGCAATGCCCTTGTGTCATCTGGGCACCTATACAAATACATCTGTAGAATCAATTCCCAGAATTATTTATTTATTTCAAAATAGTATAAGACGTGCCCCAGTCATAACCATAACAGAAAATGTTGAAAATGCTCACTTTTTTAGCCAAGATACTCTAGCAATTACATGTTGCAGGAGACGTCAAGGCTATATAGGGAGGGAGATCTGTGGACATGGAAGGAAATGAGAGGAGATACGGCACTCCTACCCGGGAGGCTGATCAGGACAAGATACAGGCAGAGCCTTTTTTAAAGGGAGGCTCAAACTCAGGGTTTGTAGCGCAAGCATATAGAATCTCTGATAAAATTTCTCTTTTGCAATAAAAATGCTTTTTGCCTGGACAAGGACCACTAGGAATGTTAAATAAGACTCTTCTAACTTAGCCATTAGAGAAAGATGCACTTTATGTCCCACGTTATACTCAGGTGAAGTAACAACGATAACCCTCACGTCATTGCTCTTATGGACCAGTCTCTACTGGAAATACCCAACACAGTACTTGGCCTACTGAAATATTTTGAAAATGTTCATTAAGCAACACACTAGTGGTATTCAGATAGCATGTGGGTGCACAAATCCATATAATCATACTTGTTCCTTGAGACAAAGCATCTCTTTGTTCTTCATGAGAGACCTGGAATGGATCACAGAACCTAGGATTTGGAAAAGACCTTCAAAGTCATCATCCTTTATTGGAAGGAAGATGACACAAGGCATCCTCTAAGCTACAATAAACTCGTAAGAGTATGGGTAAGATAGAACTTGAGAGTCTCAAATCTCATTCATGGTTTCATCCAGTTATTTAAAATAATAATTTAATAAAATAATAATAAAAAAAATAATAATTCTGAGTATGACTATGTGACAAGCATTTTGCATGTTATCTAAAGAAATCCTCCTAACAACTTTATGGCATACAATCCCTGTGTTACAGAAATACACTGGAAACTTAAGCTCAGAGAGGTTAACTTTCCGTGGTTATACAGTGAGAAAGTGGCAGAGCTCGGTTTCAAACCTTGGCCTGACAGAAAAGCTCACACTCTTTCTTACTAAGGTAAATAGCACTTTTCTCTGCTTTTTTGGAGATGATACATGACAGATATTCATGACACCAGCATCAAGTTCTTAAGCCCTGTACACCAAAGGAATCTACTCACAGGCTCTGCAAAAGCGTTGTCCCACAGAACGGTGGCCGTCGCATTGTTGTCCTGGCTGCCATGAACAATCACCACCACCGGGAGGGACAGGGTCTAAAAAAGACACAAGAGAAAGGCTGAGAGCCCCCAGTCTCACACTCTTTTCTTCTGTTTTATTTTTAAAATCTCATTAGCAAACACTCATTGTCTCTTCAAGTTTCATCCTGTAAATGCCATTCTGTTGTTATTGTTGGGTGATGCTGAGTCAATTCCAACTTATTGTGACCCATGCGACAGAGTAGAATTGTCTCATAGGGTTTTCTAGGCTGTATCTTTACAGGAGCACATTGCAAGGGCCTTCTTCTGCTAGGCTGCTGGGTAGGTTCAAACCACCACCTTTTGGTTAGCAGCCAAGTGCTCAACTATTGTGCCACAAGGGCTCCTAAATGTCATCCTAGAATACAGAATTTGAATGGCTCCAGGAACAGCAGGACTTTTCAAAATGGTACAGTCTTAGGAATTGTAGATATTTGTAATGTGATGGTGCATAGCGATTTCTGATGGATGGAGTAAGCTTCTCAAAGTGGCAAAGAGAGAAAAAAGAGAAATCAGTCGAGATATTTTGGGGAGAAAATAATAACAAGGAATAAATGTCTAAAACTTACTGTAGCTGTGAGTCAAACTCAAATTCATCTTGGGTGATGTTTCTCAAAGTTCATTTTTTACCTAAAACCTCAGCTACTTTGGTTCATTATTGTTTGTTTGTCTTAAGAGAGCTAAGAGATGAATTCAAAGGAAGAGATTTACCCATTTTCTGCTCATCAATAGTCAAAAAGAGGGTAATATGAGAAAATAAATCCTCTTGGGATATTTATGAAGTATACCCATTCCTAAGTTACTGACATGGTTAGATTCCAAAGATGAGATTGGTATGCTAAAATTGACATTAAAAAAAAAAAAAAGGAGGATGATTATTACATCAGATCACAAAATGGAGGATGACTACATCATTACATAACTGCCAAATTACATCACCACTTAACTGCCAAACCACTGAGAATCATGGCCCAGCCAAGATGACCCATAACCCTAACTATCACAGCCAGCATTACTCTCACTGATCACCTCAAGTGTTCTTTCTTCCAAATGTATGTCATTAATGTGCAAATAGTCAATTTTTGACTATTATCATAGATGCAAAATGCAGGATAACAAGACAGTTGGTAAGGAGTATGTGTAAATACAAGAGCTCTGGAGGTGCAGTGCTTAAGGCATTTGACTGTTAACCAGAAGGCTGGCAGTTCAAACCCACCAACCACGCCTCAGAAGGAAGGTTGGGCAATCTACTTCTGTAGTGATACTGTCTTGGAAACCCAGGGAGGGGTTGCTATGAGTCGGATCCGACTTGATGGCAGCAAGTTTTTTTTTTGTTTGGTATATGTACGTACACACAGCTAAAAGGGGGGATGGTTACCTTGACCTGAAAAACTAGTTCATTTCCACCAACACTGAACTGTGATTCAAAGAGGATGGTAAATTTTTCTTCGGTCACCGACTCTGCTCCTCGGCGGTCAGACCTTTTAATACGTTTCAGGGACTGCAAGGAAGACAAAAAACAGTGACAAAAGCCTCCAACAATAAGGAAAACCTCATCCTTCTTCCTTCCTCACCATGTTTCTGAAGTGGGCACTGAGGGTGCCTGTGGCTTGATGATACTCCATCACACAGCAGTTGTTCAAGATCTCTCCGCTGTAATCACTGCAAATCAGAGAGAAACCCCAGCTCCACATCCATTCCAGGCTCCCAGCAGGGACACAGGGTCAGAGCACATATTTGGGGTAGGAGGAAATAAACAAGGTCATGAAAAACTTAGGTCTTTCAGAGCAACTATTAGCGACATAAAATTTCCAAAAAACGTTCTTCTATGTTATCTCTTGTAAATGACACAGAATCGTATCTTCATAGAAGAGCTCCTTTGGCTTCCTTCTCTGAGAGCTACAAGAGGCCCAAAGGACTAACAGGTCTCTGCTGATTCTACAGCTACCTAAGAGGCAGGATTACATCCTTCCCATCCACAAGGACTCAAGGAGAACAGGAGTGAGAAGAAGCAGCCCAATTACTTGCGTGTGTTCTCGTTTTTGAGCAGAGACTTGGCTTGCTGCTCGCTGATGATGGTGGCCTTCACCTGGGGAGGGTTCATGTGCACGTTCAGCTTCCCGCCTACCAGTAGCCGCACGGTGGCTGCAAACTTGGTCTGGGTCTTCAAGACCTGAGGGGGCTGCTTCTCAATGATGAATGTGCTGCAGGGGACACAAGGGACCACACAAATGATGAGAGGCCAGCTCAGGGAAAAGGCTCTAGGGCCCTCTGCCTGAGAGGCTGCCTTGCCCAGGGCCCAGGAGGCACAGGAAGAGCTTGGGGCACAGCCTCTGATCTCAGAGAGCTTAATGGGAAACAAGAGGACAGCAGAGGAGACGGACTGAAAGGAACTTCTCAGCAGCTGGCACGTGTGCAAGGGGCAAGGGCAGCCCGTGTAGTGGCCTCAGCAGAAACTGGGCAAGGGCAGCACTAAGCAGCCATAGCAACCAGAGACAGAGAAGGGCAGTGGCGAGAGGCAGAGAGAGCAGATTCATGCACGAGCCCCTGGACGGGGAAGGCACCCACTGCCCCTTCAGGCCGGCCACCGTGGGGCTGCCCCTGCCTCTCTGGACGTGCCAAGGGCAGCAGTCACCTGGTCACCAGGGCTGAGATGATGTCTGTGATGGTGGCATTGACCTCAGCCAGCATCTCCTCCACAGGACCCGGAATGGGCAGCTGCTGGCACAGGTGCTCGGCTCTGCGGATCTGCTGCCGGTTCTGCCAGATGATCTCGGCCAGCTTCTCACACCTGCGTGGGAATCCCAAGGCCAACGGGAAGGACAGTGACTTCATGTCCCCCTCCACCAAGCCCAAGGCTGAGGGGCCCCCAGCCTGGGAGAACCTCCAAGACACAGCCCCAGCCCCACTCAGTAGGGCCTCAGCCAGCACCTGCCCCTACTGCAGAGAAGAGCTACCCTTCAGAATGCAGAGAAATAGGAACACAAGGGACCGTGACTTGTCCAACAAGCCCTGGGTCACTCTGCACCCTCTCAGCCCCACCCTATTCCCCAAGCCTGTGGCCCCTGGCGGAGGTACTCGGGGTGGGCACAAAGCCAGTCCCAGGAACCAGAGCCACGCGTTATACAGGACTGTTACAACACAGGGCAGCAGCTGCACATCTGCTCAGGGGCAGACGAGCCCGGGACCAGCACCCCTCCCGCCTGCCCTCCCTCCCCGCAGTACCAGGACTGCAGCACATCCAGGCTGCCCTCAGGGGGCCCTCCGTTCCCGGCCAGCTGCTGCCGCCGCTTCCACTGGATCAGCTCATCGTCCAGGATGATGGTCTGCTGCTTCCGCAGCAGCTGCAGGGTCTTCTGGTGCTTCTCAGCCAGTTCCTAGGGGCCGGGGGAGAGCAGGCCCTCTGGCCTCCCAAGAACACCTCCCAGGGCTCCATGGAGAAGTCCAGGGCCCAAGGACCAGCCCCTCACAGGCCTGTCCCCTCCCAGGGCTGCTCTGCCTCAGGAATCCAGCCAAATCCAGCCACCTGCACTAGCTTTCACTCTCCTTCTGGCTCTGTCCAGGCCTCCTGGTCCCTGGAGAGCTCAGGGCGGGACCCCACTATTGGCAGGAGGACGCAAGACCCCACTTACCACGCGGTACTGCTGCAGTGTCTGGGCCTCGCGCTGCAGCCAGGCCTCCAGCGACACCTGCTTCTGCTGGAGGGCCGTCTCCCGGCTCAGCCGCTCCTGGGGGTTCAGCTGGGCCAGCTGGGCAAACTGAGCTGGAGGAGGGGACAGGACACCCACAGCCATGTACTCCCAACTTCTAGCAGGAAGCCTAAGCAGCCACACTCCTTGTCCCTGAGATAGGCCCCTCAAGGGACAGATACCCCATCAATGGCAAGTCGGGTTTCTGCCCCAAAACTAATAGGTACCCTTAGAAGGCTCATGACTCTGAGCTTGTCCTCTGGGGAGTGGGAGGATGGACGATCAGGAGTGTAGCTGAGGACATTCCTGCAATGGGGCTCTCAAAGCCCCTGGTCCTCCCCTCTTGACCTCCACACACAGCTGGCTTTCCTGACCCTTTCACATGGGGTCTGGCATGGAGCCAGACTGCTTGGGTCTGAAGGATGCCCTTGTTGTTTGTCAGCTGGGTGAACTTGGGCAAATAACTTTACTGTCCCATGCCTGTTTCCTCATCTGTAAAAGGGAAAAATAATAGTCCTACTATGAGGACATACTACTTGGTTCTACAATCAACACCAACGGAAGTAGCAGTCAAGACATAAGACAACATATCACATTGGTCAAATCTGTTGCAAAAGACCTCTTTCAAGTGATGAAGAGTAAAGATGCCTCCTTGAAGACTAAGGTGTGCTTAACCCAAGCCATGGTATTTTCAATCGCCTCTTACCCATGTGAGAGCTGGACAATGAATACGGAAGACTGAAGAAGAGTTGATGCTTTTGAGTTACAGTGTTAGAGAAGAATACTAAGAGTATCAAAGTCTGCCAAAAGGACTAACAAATCTGTCCTGGAGGAAGTGCAGCCAGAATGCTCCTTGGAAACAAGAATGGCTGGACTTCATCTCACCTACTTTGGTCAAGTTGTCAGAAGGAACCATTCCCCGGTAAAGTGGAGGGTCAGCAAAACAAGGAAAGGCTCTCAAGGAGATGGACTGACACAGTAGCTGGGCTACGATGGGCTCAGGTATAGCAAGGATCATGGGGCTGGCACAAGACCGGGCAGTGTCTCATTCTGCTGTGCACAGGGTTGCTACGAGCGGAGACAATTCGA